TGCTGTTGTTGGTGGACATTTTCTTGCACATGTCTTGGTACCCATGTGTGCATTTTTGTCAAGTGTACATCTAGGAGTAGAATTGCTGCATGATAGTTAACTTTTGTGGTTAATGCAAAAAAAGTTCCAAAGTGATTATACCAGTTTACATTCCCACCACCAGTATATAAGATTCTAGTAACTCTATGCCTAACCAAAACTTGACATTGCCAATTATTTTGCCACTTCATCCATTCTAGTGCATGTGATGTGCTATTTTACTGTGGTTTTAAATTACATTTCTCCTACAACTGATTATTCTGTGTCTCTTTCTATATACATATTGGCCTTCTAGATACCCCTTGTACATTTTTCATTCAAGATACAGAACTTCTCCATCACTACAAAAATCTCCCTCATGGTATCCCTTTATAGCCATACCCACCCTCTCACCTCCTACCATCTCTAACCGCTGGCAACCACTAATCTGTTCTCCATCTCTATAATTTTGTCATTTTGAAAATGTTATATTTACAGGGAATCAAAATACAATATGTGATGTTTATAGATTGGCTTTTTTCATGTTTTTTTTAAATTGTATCAGTGTATTTGCAAAATTATTGGTAAAATGGGCTTGAGATGATGCTGTATGTTTTCAGAGACTGAGGCTACTTTCTTAGGTATCTGGTATCTTAGCACTCTGAAGTCACACTGGTTAAATATTAGAAATTAAGATATTCATAAACTGAGATGCATGCCCTGTGAGGGCCTGCTTCACACTGCTGAGATGCAACCTTTCAGGATTCCAACCCAAGGTTTAGGGAATGGAGCAGATTCACTATTGCCACTTTCCTTGGTGGGTTCAGGACCCTAATGCCCACTCTTCTTAGCCTCTTTGCCTCTAAACTGCCCTCTCTGGATCATGTAACATCCCCAACTAAAAAGAAGTTCCAAGCTCCTGACTTGCCTTTCTGAGATTCTCTCCTTCTCCATATCCTAATCTGGTAATTTTTTTCTATCTTGTTAACTTTTTATGCCTTCAATCAAGTGACCTTTATATATTTTGTCAAGATTTTCTACTTATCTTCAGCAGCAGATAGGTCTAAATTACCTAGACTCTTACTACTGGAAACAAATCTTTCCAATAAATTTGTTTTCTCTGACCCACTAAGGGTTTAAAATAAATTGAATTTAGAATAAAAAGTTCTGATATCTGACTTCTATTAATGTCTAAATTCACTTAAGACAAAACTCAGGTAGAACAATTAGGGGATACTGCCCTTTTTGGAAAAGAACTTGCTCTTAACTTGGGTGATCTTCCCCCATCCCTATGGTCTATATTCAGCCACTTTATTCAAGTAACATGCCTGCTTGGCCACTGTAAGCATTCTTATTAAATGGAAACCTTCTAAATTTAATACGATACTTTTTTGTTCCTAGAATCTTTTTCATTACCAAGATCTTCATTCTCTAAATTACGGTCACATTCATTCTTTTCTTAGCACCAGTATGGGGTACAGGGCCATATTCTTTATGCTATTCCTATTCAGTGACTGATCTTCCCTCCAGCGTATTCCACAAATGTTTTTCTTACCTCTCTAGGACACAGCCTCTCTGAAAAATAACTCTAAGTCCACTAATCAGCCCTTATTATTACTGAAACTGGAAAGCATCCTCAGTAATTATTATAAGAGGCTGGTTGTTAAAATTCTCAACACTATCCTTGATTTACATGGTAAATTTATTTCCCAGAATTTTTCTTATTTTTCTACTGGTTAATAGTATAATAACGATAGCTCCTCCCACATGAAACAGAGTATAAGTAAACAGGAAAATGTGAGGCATTAAAATTAGCCTAAGACCAAAATCATTATATATGTAGATTTCTAAGAAGTGTTTTATCAGCATATATTAAGGAATTACTGTCACCTATGTGTTGCACTATTTCATACCCACATATAGAATTTAAAGTGATAGAATATCTTGGTTCTCATGGGGCTCAAATTTTGTCTGGAAAGAGATCACATTGAAAGCAGGATAAAATATACATTAAACCCTTTTCTATATCTAAAATGACAGCATAAAAGGAAGTGTATTATGCTATTAGAAAGCCAATAGAGAGGTAACAATAAGTTGAGGATGTTGAACAAGAAAGGCTTTTGAAGAACATTCTTGGGTCAATTTTCAGGAGAGTTTTAGAAACAAATTTACAAGAGAGAGGAGGAAAGTGTTCCAGCAAGTGGCAATTCTTGCAGAGCTTGTCTTTCCAAGCACTCAACTGATTCATCTCTATTTTTTTGTCAGCAGATTTTTAAAGGTGATTTTGTAGTGTTGGCATGGAATTGATATATTTTTAATGCTCAAGAATATGTAGACAATCAAGTATTATTATATTTAGAAATAGGAAATGAGAGAGAATAACAGATAGGTAATCATCTCGAGTCTCAGTTCAGTCTTGTCATCTTCCCTCTCAGCAGAAATACTGCAGGAGGTACGGTGTTCCGTATGTAGATGCTGACCTTAAGGAGTTTGCAACTGATTACCATTAAGATTTAAGCACCTAAGCTAGAAGTTAAACTGCATGCAGTGGATACCTAGCCACTCAAGAAATGCTGCAAACCAGTGGATGATAAATATCAAAAACATCAGTGCTGACAAGTCCCAGCAAATTTCATAGGAGGTAGAATCCTTGGAAGAAAAAGGCTTCACAAAAGAGATGTGACTTAGAATCACTTCAGCATGGGAACCACAGAGATCCTCTAATCCAACTAGATGAATTCCTTCTATGACATCACTAATAAACGGCTCTTTCTCTCTTTTTTTAATCCTGACCAGTAACAGAGAATTTGCTTTCATGAGACATCAATTTTAGAAGTTTTAGAAATAATGTCCTTCCTTAGACTAAGCCTCAAATCAGCCTCCTTCTTAAATTTAATAGTGCTATCCAGAGCTTCTCAGATTGGTGTCTTGGCACCAGGTGTGTTGACTTACTTAGTTCCTTGGCCCTCCAGGATGTCCTGCAGAGACTGAAGTACCCACAGTCCCAGAACCATGACCAGGAGAAACCTCTTGTGTTTATCACAGTGTCATAAATAGTGTCACCTGTTATGTGTACTCCACTTTAAAGAAGATTGTGAAGCATTGCTCAGTATAGTGTGTTGGTGAAGAGATCAAGTCTCTGGAATCACACAGACCCAAGTTAGAACCTTGGCTCTGCCAGATTAGTTTTCAGACCTTGGGAAAGAAACCGCATCTTTTCAAACCTCAATTTCTACACTGCAAAGTGGGTGCAATATTACTGCCTCCCTTGTGAAGTTGGTGTAAGAATTAAAGATAACATAATAGCACTAAAAAATAGTAATACTGTCATTAGTTTTGCTTTTACCCTCTTAAAAATGCTATAGAATCCCTCTTCTACTTTTATAAACTTTAGAATATTTAAAGTTTAAATATTTATTGCTTCCTCTAAGTATTCTCCTACAGCTAGATAGCCTAAGTTCCTTCAGCATCTCCTCATCAACATAAATTCAAGTTCCTTCATCATCTTAGTTGCTCTCTTTATTTCTTTTTGAATATGTAGTACTAAGAACTGGATGCATCCCTATAGATTTGGCTTGATAAACTAGTTCTCAAAGAGTGGATGGAATTGGGCAATGGAAGAAAGATATTCATGCTGGAGAACCGTGTAGTAAGCAAAGAAAAAGGAGAGATAATATATCTATCATGTTTATCAACAAATGGGCTTCACTGGCTAAAACATAATCATAGGGGGGGAAAAGGATTTTAAAGGGGCAGAATTATGAACTCCTATATTCACGAAACTATAGATTCTATCCAGTGTAAAGAAATACCAACATAATTGTCACTACAGGAGACTGATCTATCTTTTGAAAGCAAGCAACCACAGTATTTATGTGAGCTACAAGCAAAATGTCATACATAATATAATCATTTTTTGCTCCCCTAGAATTGTCCCAACGGGCTGCTAGAAAACCGGAGATTATCTACAAGCTACACATACCCTGGGCTTTCAGTGGCTGTTGGCTGTTGCATTCCACTCTGTTTGAAAGAGGTTGGTAACAAGATTACCTTGTCCTATCCTGAGAGTCGTAACTCAGGAGTTTCAACCTTCAGATTTCCTTCCTGACCCTTTTTATTCTAGTCTTCTGGTGTTTCTTCCATTCATTCCACATAATATAATGCTTAGAATCTGTTGGTGTTCATGCTCCCTCCTCAGCTAAGTATTAGTTGTGTGATATTGGGCAAATTATTCTACTCCTTTGTAACTCAGTTTCCTCTTCTGTTAAAATGAGAGGGTTTTTTTGTTATTTTTACAGCAGTTTAACAATAAATTGTGAGCATTAAATGAGATAATGTATTTACAGTACTTAGAAGAGGCCTGGCAATAGTGAGCGCTTTTTATGTTAACTGTTACTTTGAGTCATTATTATTCGTGCATTCGACGAATACCACTGTGCTAAATTCAAGGGATATGGTGGCACACGGGACAATCTCTCACGCTCAGTGATCACATTTCTCTTACCCTCAATGCTCACATTTCTTCTAATTTTGTGAGAAATGCAATGACTTTAGAATCTGACTCCTGGATACAATTTCAGAAGCTGCTGTTTATCTTGGTAACTGTGGATAAGGCACTTAACCTCTCTGAGCCTATTTCCACATCCGTAAAATGAAGATTAATAAAATCTACTTGGAAGATTTGTTTTGACTATTAAATAAGACAAAATATGCAAATTACCTGGCACATTTGGAGCCAAATATACTTTCCTTTTCAGTCTTGTGTCCACACCTGAGGCTAGGGAACTCCACTCTGAGCTTAGAAACCAGTGCTGTCATCTTAAACGCCAGGGAGGATTAAGGGCGGGAACTCATCTGCAGGAAGAGTAAAACCCAGAAGGCGTGGGAGGAGACAGAGACAGGAGGGATACAGGGACCGCCCCCGGCCTACAACTCCCGGGATGCTCCGGGAGCGCCCCGCCCCGCCCCACCCCGCCCGCCAAGGCGGGCGCTGCCCACCCAGCGGAGTCGAGCGGCGTGCCGAGGCTACAAGTGCGGCGGCTGGTGATTGGGGGACTTTCTCCGGGAGCCTTGCGGGGAGAGCGCACGGTGCTCGAGCCACACCGGGTGGCCGAAGTAGAAGGTGAGCGGTGGGGAATGGGACAGGGTGGAGGCTTTTGGGTGCGAGAGTGAGAGCCCTGGAGCCTAGCAGAGCTGGAGCGCACATCCCCGCTCCCTGCCCGAGGTGTCCTGCTTCGCGGACACATCACCATCTCGAGTGCCTCGGTGGGCGCACAGTTCACCAGGAATGATCTCCCGATCCCTCGGCGCCTGCGGGGGTCACCGCTGCCTGGTGCTTGCCGCTTGCTGTCCTGGCTCAGCGCGCGCGGGGCGCATCCAGAGGTCGCCTCTCTGAGACCAGCCTTGCCTGTATCAGTTTAAAGCAAATATTAATGCTGTTAATTGATGAAAGATGGACGAGGGAAAGTGCTTGTCCCCTCGCTTTAAGGTGCGATGTCGTTAACTGGGCTTTTAAGCAGATCAGAGGAAAAAGAGGGAGAGGACGGAAGAAAAGCGCCTTTAGCTGGTCCCTTGGGATTATCCATTCTCCACTGAGAATGGAAGCCCCGGATTAGGGAGCTGCAAAGGACTGTGCTGCTAGCGTACCTCTGATACAACAAGCGAACAAGCGGGAGTAGCTTTTTTTTAAAGAGAGGTAGAGGCGGCTGTAGGGAATTAAGTGGGGATTGCAGTCCTGTTTTGTTATAAATTGAAAGTCTCAAAGAACCCTGCTGATTTTATCCAAAGTAGGCTAGCGTGATGAGTTTAATTGTGCCAAAGGTTAATCAGAGCCCCTAATGCCTGAGAAAACTGGGAGAAGAGTTATCGGTAATTGATGAAGCCTGTTACCATCACTTCATTCATTGAGGGATCCTTCAGTCGGGGGTTTGTTCTAGTTTACTAGTGATTGTTTTGCCCTTGGTGTCTTTGCTGTTTTCACTGTAGAGAAACTCCGATAATAGAAGAAAAGCGTGTTTTGTTTTGTTTTTTGTTTTAAATAAACTCTCATGTAGAGCAGAAAACATGTCGATTCCCTCTCCCATATTTTGAGTTGCCAGGTTGACCTTAGGTGACCCTTGCCTGTGCTTCTGTTACCAGCTTTGGAGCTGTGGATTTTGAATCATAAGAAGCCTCAAGCCGTTGGGTTAAATCCATTATCACCCTGGATTTGGAAGTAAAATAAAAGCCTTTGGTTAAAATCTCTATATTTAGTGATAGTGGAAAGTGAATTTTTATTCCTTGGAAAGATGCAGAGGCAAAGAAAGATAGGCAGATGGTTTTCTGCTCAAACCAAAGTTCTCTTCCAGGAATGCCCTTGCTGCAATGAGGGATGAAGAGGGACATGTTTATAAAATTCCAGAGGTAACCTTGGAAATAGCTTGTCACCTATTTACCTGCACAGAACTCTTACTCTGTGGGTTTATAGTTTGTCTTTTATTTTCAGTTTACTTCTAGATTGGGTTTGTAAAACTAGCCAGATGGTCAATTTCTTGTGCATGTGTGTTAGCAAAGCATGCAGAGAGGGAGGAACACAGACCCGCATGGACCCAGGGAATGGGAGTAACAGATCCTGCAGCTGAAACAGGCAGGTGTGTGTGTGGATCAGTGAGTTGGCCCATTGTATTTTGCAGGGATTGCAGTAAGGTCTGTTGCCTATATGCTTTGGGGTTCAGAACATGCTCCCCCATGGCACAGTGTTCCATGGGGGAAGGAGGGAATAGGGCTGAGTAGAAGCACAGTGAATAAGCAGCATATGGACTTGTAAATAAAGGGCTGTATGATTAGGGTCATTGAATATATGACATGTAAGGTTAGCAGAGGTGGCTGATTAAGCTGGCCTTTTTTTATCTACTTCAGATCTGCAGAATCAAAATGCTGACTTCCTGCCCAGCTGATAGGGGTGTATAGTCATTCACTCATGGTGATGCTCTGAAGCTAATCTGTATTAGAATCTGTTCTGAACTAGGGAGAGTGTAATCACTTACAGTCTAATTGAATTAAGAAGTCTGGGCCGGGCGCGGTGGCTCAAGCCTGTAATCCCAGCACTTTGGGAGGCCAAGGCAGGTGGATCACGAGGTCAAGAGATCGAGACCATCCTGATCAACATGGTGAAACCCCGTCTCTACTAAAAATACAGAAAAATTAGCTGGGCATGGTGGCGCATGCCTGTAATCCCAGCTACTCAGGAGAGGCAGGGAAATTGCCGGAACCCAGGAGGCGGAGGTTGTGGTGAGCCAAGATCACACCATTGCACTCCAGCTTGGGTAACAAGAGCGAAACTCCACCTCAAAAAAAAAAAAAAAAAGTCTGTGCTTCCCAGAAAATTGGGAGCTCTATTAAAAAGGGCTCTTGCCTTTCTCATTTGTCTTTTTACAGGAAACCTGCCTTGTCGTTTGAGGGATCCTCTTGCAGGAATGTGTGTCCTTGGATAAATTTGGCTTGGTGATGGCAGTATCCTTTCTCAGTAGACACTGCCATTTCCTCCATGCACCTTTCTACCCTGACCTAAGTTTTTCAGTGTTAATCACTATGACAAGTGAGAGCATTTGCTCTTTCCACACTTTCCTGCCACTAGGTATCCCCTCCTTTCTTTTTCCTGTTTGAGGTGGAAAGGGGGCTAAACAGGTGCAGCTGTGAAGAAAATGGCACTCTCAGGAGCAACACTCCTGGAAGTACAGCCTTAGCTTCTGTTAGGTTCTTATCTAACTCTGTTGTTATTGGCAGACTTTCCGGAAGCTGCTGGGGGATGTCTGACTAGCTTTCATGGAGCTCTACTCCCTTGCTAAGAAGAGCAACAAGGCAGACCTCTGTGATGCCAGGGACTGGAGTTCCAGAGGGCTTCCTGGTGACCAGGCAGATATGGCAGCCACAAGAACTGCTCTCTGCTGTCAGAGACAGTGTGAGTCTACCCCAAGAGCAATTGAGATGGAAGGGTCTAAACTTAGTCCTTCTCCAGCATCCCCTTCCTTCTCTCTGCAAAACAGTACCCTTCTTCCACATGCTTTTCCACCAGGACCTCTCCACTCAGGGAACAACCAAATAACAGCAGAACAGAAAGTTTGTAACTGCTGCAGCCAGGAATTAGAAACTTCTTTTACCTATGTGGACAAAAACATCAACTTGGAGCTGCGGAACCAGAGCTCGCCATCAGTAAAAGGGCATGACCACCCTGGGGAGCTTGGCTGGGAAAATCCAAACGAGTGGTCCCAAGAGGCTGCCATATCTTTGATATCTGAAGAGGAGGATGATACAAGTTCAGAAGCCACGTCTTCAGGGAAGTCCATAGACTATGGTTTCATCAGCGCCATCTTGTTCTTGGTCACTGGCATCCTGCTGGTGATCATCTCTTACATTGTCCCGCGGGAAGTGACTGTGGACCCCAACACTGTGGCAGCCCGGGAGATGGAGCGCCTGGAGAAGGAGAGCGCGAGGCTGGGGGCTCACCTAGATCGCTGTGTGATTGCGGGGCTCTGCCTCCTCACGCTGGGGGGTGTCGTACTGTCCTGCTTGCTAATGATGTCCATGTGGAAGGGGGAGCTCTATCGTCGAAACAGATTTGCCTCTTCCAAAGAGTCTGCAAAACTCTATGGTTCTTTCAACTTCAGGGTGAAGACCAGCACGAATGAAAACACTCTGGAACTGTCCTTGGTAGAGGAAGATGAGCTCGCTGTACAGAGTTAATTCTGGTTGTGAACATCTTGAGAGTCTGCCTTGGCATTTTATAGTATGAAAAAAGAAGTTAATTTGTAAAAAAAAAAAAAAATCACAGTGCAATTTATTTGCCTGGCAAGAAAAGTTTATTTCACAAACCTACAGGCAATGAGTGATTTTGTTCTCCATGTGTCTTCTATTTAGAAGAAAAGCCATGTAAGATGTATAAGAAACCACAACCAGCCACACCGATCCTTCTGAAGAGCTGAAGACTAATTGATCTGTAATGGCCAAGAACTTCTACTTCAATAGAAATATATTTCTAATGATCCAGTACACAAATATGTGATATTACTCTTTGGACACTAGGTAGTCCTATGCATAGTAGGATCAATTGCTAATCTATTTTGTGAAAGAGAACTAAGCACTAATCAATAATAAGGCTTACATTTAATTCTCAACGGTGCTTATCCATTTTCTTGCTAAATTATCCTTCTCGTTATTTGACTAAAACACTAAAATATGGAGATTTGAGTTTGAATATTTTGAAGTTTGAGGATGTTGGGCTGTTTTTATTATAAAAAATACTATGTTTGAAATTATTCCTGTATTCAAAAATGGCAATTAAGTCATTAGGATAAACTTTCTAATAAAAGAAAATTATGTCAATCATTGTAAGACCAATGTGAATTTAAACAACAGTGTTAGTGCCAGATATCAGCCAGGGTCACTGCTCTTTTTTAAAATGAAGTCAAATTAGTTACTGATATAAATTTTATTTTTTGTGATTTTGCCATCATACCAGTTATTTGTGCTCTTGAAGTCCACTATTTCTCACACCAAAGAGGCAAGCCATGAGACATTTTAAATATATTTCCAGACATCTAAACATCTGGGCAGGCCTGAATCATGATTGGCTCTGGTGTGCCCCCAGGTGACATCTTGTTATTGCTGTTTGGGGAAAACCACCAGTAAAATTGCAGTTAGACTTTTGGGGACTGTGCCTTGCAGGCTGTATCACTTGCTCTAGGCCAAGCAACAACTGCTTCCCTCATGACAGCTGCAGTCCTTAAGCCCAAAGCCAAAAAAATTAAAATGGAGAGAGATTAAAAACACTAATTCAATGGGCACTGTAGTCATCGTCAGAACTCACCTCCCACTCAGAGTGGTCTAGGTGTCATTCAGTAACTGTGAGCTTTTGCCTCATAAAGCACAAACTCTTGCTCATAAAGCACAAAACCTTGCAGCATGATTAGCAAGGTACTCACTTTGCAAGACACACACCGGGTGTCCACAGTGACACAGTGCCTCATTAAGGTGACAGTTCAGAAAGGGTATGGGAAATGCAGCCGCAGAAATACCTTACATTTTGCAACTCTACTTGGAGGTTTTTCCAACTTCGGCTGTAGGAGTTGTTGTAACTCCCATGATTGTGTTACCAGGACGAGGGTGTCATTCTTAAAGAGGACAGGAGCTGGGAATTGGTATGAGATAGCAGGGATGAGGAAGTAAGAAGTGATTTATTTGTAGATTTTTTTAAAGGCTATTTCAAACGTCTGAAATTTGTGTTGTTGTGGATGACTGTGGAATACATGGGTGACTCTGTCCAGAAAAATGTGTGAATCAAGATATTTATGTGGATGAGCTCTCATGGGTGCCAGAGATTGATTTGATGAGTGAGGTATGCTGCATATAACTAAGAGTTGAGGTGAAATACAAAAAGGGGAGCCTCAGAAGACAATAAAAAAGAGAGGAGGGGCATATGAAAGCATTATTAGGTAAAAATGAGGAATTATATGGGCATCAGGAAGCTAGAGGTAGTTAATTTCTCATGTTATAGAGCAGTGCTGATGGCCAAAAGGAATTGAGATGACATAAATATGACTTTTCTTTTCCATTGCTGTTTCTTTGTGCTTTTTGAACAAACTTTGTTTTACTGTGACTCTCATTTCATTATTTTTGTTGAGGCTGCCTTACCAGTGGCATAAGTTTTATATTCTGAAGGTTTCTAAGTCCAGCTCTAGCCTGCTTAACGATCCAATTTGGATAATGTAGAGACAAGAAGGAAACAACCTACTGCTCTGCTGAGTGAGTAGGTCTAAGCTGTATGTTAAAAAAAGAAGGCATTAAAAAACTGCATGTTTATTCACAGAAGCTAAGTGAGATCAACTGAGTTTTGTTTTTATTTATTGGTGAAACAGGATTAATTAGCCAAATTACAGATTAAATTGAATTAATGTGGAGCCGGTTTTCAGTTTATGAAGGAAGAGGAGTTTGGGAATCAAGTGTTAGGAAGTCTTTTCAACTGATGATAAAGATTTTCATGCAGAAGCATTTACTGAATCCTGCAGAGCTACCAAATAATGTAGATGTGATCTAGAGGCAACATTTTGAAAAATGCCATTTTGGAAAAAAAAATATTCAAGGGAGAAGAAAAAGACCTAACAAGTCAAAATATATTTCTTTTTTTCTAGAACTCTATAATTTTCTTTAAAATTTAAAATTGAAATGTAGTAAGTAAATGCATATTTCAACATTATTTAAATATGCTTACATATAGAGCACATATCTTGAGTAAGTGCATATTTCAACATTATTTAAATATGCTTACATATAGAGCACATATCTTTTAAGATTCTACTTATTTGAGGGCAAACCACTACACATTATATGATTTAGAAAATCATCTGGATGACTCCCTTTGGGCTGCGGTGACACTCTTCAGATGCTTGCCTTAATCGACTTTTCCCTGGGTATTTGGTTTATGTAGCCTTTATCCATCCTGGCAGTGCCTGAATTCAAGATGAAGATTACTTGAATTTAAAATGACGATAACGCAGGCAAAGAAAAGCCATGTGTTTTATTTACTGTTGTCTCCAATCTGATGAGGAGCGTTTTTGGCTCTACAGTTACTTTGGCAAGACCAGGTGATACATTCTACAGACATTGGCCATACAATAGCTATGGGGTTGGTCTTGCATCCTTCATGGGGATTTATGGCCTTACATTGTCTCTTCAATGTGGTGCTGGTTGTTATCTATGAACATTTTTATTGCTAGACCTAGAGAAGAAAAACATTTTCAGTGGTTCTAGGTCTATAGCTTATTTACATGGTTTTAGAAATCTAAACTCAGAGTCATCTTCCTAATCTCAATGAGAAGACAGCTCATCTTTCAGCAGTGTGGTCCAATGGGGTGAGTTACAGAAAGAAAGCTGCCTTTCTCCTTTATTACTTGGATCTACACACTGCTGATTGGTGATTTAAGGCTCCTAATATCTTTAATAAGCCAATCCTTTTAAGGGCACCTTAAACTGGTACAGAGTTTGCAAAGAGTTTTCTTTGCAGTGCTGTGTGTCCTTGCCACCCACTGGGAGCTATTAAAGTAGATCACGTAATATGATGTACCGACCCCTCGTATAAAGAACAGCTTTTCTTCATGCTCCCCACTGCTTAGCTGATTTATAGTTTAGAGGAAGACAAGACTGTTTGGAATCATGAAGTTTTTGGAGGCCATGTGTGCTTTTACCCACATGACTGCTATAACCCTTGATTCTGTACGATCAAGATACTTGCCTTGATATCACATGCTTTGCTGTCTGCTTAAAATATGAGTCCATCTTCCTCATCTTTATTTGTTATAAAGACCCAATTGGACCAGTGCTGGCACATGCCCTTTAAGGTACAGCTTCTGAAAAGAGACTGCACTACCAAACTTATGTGTGCCTTTACCTCAGTCCCCCAGGATAAGGTTAAATCAGTGACTGAGCATGATGCTAGTTAAATATCAAGAATTAAAGGTCTGAACCCAAATGGCTCTACTTTTTTTTTTTTTTTTTTTTTTTTAAATATTTCCAACAAGTAAAACTTCTAGGCAGAAGCATGTGAACATTTTGGTCTTCATCTTTCTCATGTGCAATGGTAGGTGCATGTAAAACTTTACTTGGATTAATCATCTAAATTTTTTAAAAAGTGCTCTATATATCTATCTCTTAGGAGAATGATTTTCAACTTGAAGGTCAGATTTCATTGCAGCAATTAATGTCACCACAAAAATGTGGTCTGACAAGAAAGATTCACAACCTTTACCAATAGTTCACCTATTACAGCAAGATGTAATACTATCAGTACTTACTGTTCTCTGTAATGGGTTTAACCTTTCCCAGAATTGGACATAAAGAATGACTATGATGAGAAAATTATAATGAAGTCTCACTGGCTTTTCTAGAGTAAAAAGAGTTCCCAGTAAAGAGAATTAACATATCATTGTCTTTCGGCTGATTTTCAGCTATATCATTTTATGATTCATAATATTCTATAATACCTCCTTCCAACTTTTATAAGTCTTGGGAAATAATTTGCCTAGTGAATTGATGCTATAAAAAGCAAGACGTTATTTTAAACACATAAAACTGATTTCAAAAATCTGTGGCTTACACTTAAGAGTGTAGTTATGGTTTATGTTCGTGTGAAGATTTATGTGCACTCAAGTCTGTGCATTTGGACTATATTTTATAGTTATACAGCTCTAATATCCAAAGCTATTGTTAGAATCGTTTTATTATAGGAGTTTGGCATGCCTTACTGTTGACATTAAGAAGAAGAGAAGTCTTTCGCAGGTCATGAATGAAGAATTTGGGATCAGTCTCAGAATGAGTGCCATAATTATTATAAACCTGTTTTGGTCATTCAGCCTCCCACAAATGTTTATTGGTTTATTTTTTAACTTCTCTTTCAGACTCATAAGAGTGTGGCATATTTAGAAATTATTTTACCATGATTTTCTATTTTATTTCAGGGAACTATAGGGTGTATATTTCTTTGTTTCAAGTTTGGATAACTCTCCTGTGTTTCAGGAACAGCTCTTCCTATTTTTCCACTGCCATCTTCAGGCTTCCTAGCCAGGCTCTAAACAAATGTCATGTAAGAAAGATGAGTTATTTTATATTGTGTATTTAGAGTTTGTCCCCTGTGGTTCTCAATGTGCTTTCAATTTTATTTTTCTTACCAAAAAAATAATTTGACATTGATTATGTGCTTTTTGATATTTTCAAGGGCAATTATTAAGGTTACAAGCTCTTTCTTAGGACATTTGATGCCTTATATGTTAATAGCAAGTGTGTCATATCATTTTAAAATAAAACTGCTAAAATGCTTTATTGCATTTAACTTTTATTCAAATTGGAATCTGTAATGCCAATTTGGTCTTTTAAAATTATATTTGAAATTATTTGTCCAAAAAAATTAAAATGAATATTTATCCCTAATTCAGGTTTGTCATTCTTCTTGCTACCATATCACTATATAATGTAGACTGTGCCTTATTTTTTGTTGTTTTATAGGAAGTAGTCCAAGTTATTTGCGTTTCTCTAAATCACTCAGCATTGAACTTAGAGTATATGTTTTATGGTATGGAAAAAATACACGAATGGATATTTTTTTAAAACACTTATCTGAGTGTCTAGAAAGCTTTTAGGTGAGAAAGAAATATCAAATTAACTTATGGCCCTACTCTTAATCTTCTAGTAATCTAATTTTGATCTCCATTTTTATTTGCAGAATGTATCACAATTTATATTATTAACTGGAATTTTATTCTTATATGTAAGTGTGTCAAGGTCAAAAACTCTAAAAAGACAATTGGAAGTGAGGCTTATCTACATCCTTTATAGGAA